CCTACCTAGAAGTCTCAAAACCTCCTCATCAAAGGAGGACTCAAGGAGCGCTTTTGTGTTAATCAGTCGGGGAACAAAGAGATGCTCCCCTTTATCGTCAAAGAGGAAGTTATTGTCTACATCCACACTATTTTCCGGGGATAAGCTCTTGACATAAGTCGCTAGCTTATTGTAAGAAAGCTTATCTTGGGCATCTAAGTCATCGGGCTTCACCACATAACACTCGGGCTTCTGCTCAAAATGTTTCCATTGCCACTCAAGAAGAAACTTCATCGTCAGTCGAGCCATTGTCCGACCATCCCCGACCTCATCCTAGCGGTTATACAGAATCCATGGCCGCATTAGTAAGGGGCTTCACGACGAAGTACCTTCCTTTAAAGTTTCATACAGATGTCAGGTACAATCGGAAGAGTTTCCCGAATTGCTTAAACGACACCCATGCTTACCGCCCGTCAATGGTCTACCATTGGAGGTGGAAGATACGAAAGAAAAGATTCAGAGTGGCACTGATTTGAAGGTATTGACAGACGAGCTCAAATTCCCGCATGAACGCGAGCGCGTTTGGATGAAGCTGAGAGGGCGCCAGTTGTAGCCATTGAAAACCCCCACCTGGAAATCTGTGAAGGGCAAACACATCCTCGTTTCCTTAAAAGAAAATTCGTACCCAGGAAAGCGTTTACCCGGGAAAGAAAAGCATGTCCTTTGATTTCAGTGAGGGATTTAGAGCGCCCAGTTGGCAGGGGAATCTTCTGCTCTGTCCTCAGGGACATTGAACGCGTCAGAAGCATCCTTCACAAAACATGATCCCTTATTCCAAAGTTCAGGCGCAACCCAGGCCAAGGGTCGACTGCGACCTCAACTTCGCTCCCATCGATGTCGGGCACGATATTTTCCTCGACTAGTTGTGCCATCGTACCTTAAAAGCAGAGGGAAACAGTGAATTCGACATCATCAAATTCACCCTTCCACTGCAAATCAAGTGAAAGGGCGATGAGCGCGTCGAGGAATGGTCCTCAACCCAAGCCCTCGACATCGAACGCCAAGATATCTACAACCTCACGCCGGGACATTTCGTCAAAAGGGCAATCTGCCCAAATCCTCCCCGCTTGAAAGGGGGACGACTCTGACGCATGTCAAGATAAAACTCACTAAGAGCTCATGAATCTCATTTGTATTCATGAACCCAGATGAAGTTCACGAATCTTTATCCCATAATCCATGAGTATTCATCCTGAATCCATGAATCTTCATCCTGAGATTCATCCATTCATGGTAAGATTGACGCGTTTGATCTGAAAACTTAAGAAAATCACGCTTAAAGATGAAATTACTTATTTGGAGGAGATGAACGTGAAGGCGTCTACGACGGCGTTGGAGCAACAGAATAACATGAGGACGCAGGAGAAATAGGAAGAGAGAGCTTGAAAATGTCAAGTGAATCTTTGAATCCCCTTTTTATAGAGTCCCCACCACACGAGATAGCATGCGAAAAGTCATCATTACTTGGGCTCTTATACTACCCTAGATAATGATGGCACTCCAAACAGCTGCCACATGGAGCTCGCGAAAGGATACGTCGCGGACAACAGTCACACACGCAAAACCACGTGCCTACGTCGTTCCATCCTCGTTGGCAAATGAACGCTCACATCATTACAACGCCTTACATACATGCACATCGAAGACGCGCGCCCGAGGAAACTCCTCACCTCCCTGCAAATGTAGATTCCTAACGAGCACCACATTAATACAAGCGAAGGACGAAGTCGACCAATGAAATTCTCCCAGAGCTGGTCGACCACACCACGCGCAAATTCCTGAATCCTCCTCGACATGAATCACGGAGCCGTCCCTGACGGGAGTTGACAATTTCCCCTCTCAGGCAACACTTCCCCGAAACTTGAATTGACCTCAAATCATCACCCTTTCGCCTGAGGGAAATAACTTGGAGAGCTTCTGTTCTGAACTGAGTCGGCACTTACCCCACTGTTGGGGAGGCCCAGACTGATGCCTCTGCCTATGGCCCAATAGCTTCAGACCCAAGTCAGATAGCCGTTGGGGATTTCCCCCACGTGCCAGTTGAAGAACATATCCCTTAGTCATCGTCAACCACCACTTGTCCTCCGAAAATAACGGGTCCACTATCCCTATATTCTTGGGGCGCTTTACCAGGGAGAGAGCCACCTGTTAGACCCTATTACCCACGTAAACCCTGTCAGTCTTTGTTATTGGACCCAAATCACTTGGTTCAATACATGGATCTTGGCTCGCTAGGAGCCATAAATACTCTCTCACATGAGAGGGTCAGATATTCATTTATTTTAAAAAGTTAGAGCTATTTGAACACGTTAGCAACTAACTTTATAACTACCTTTGTTATCTTATCAAGAAAAATTAAATTTAAGTTGACCACTCGACAATGACAATCAATCAATTAAGCTTTAATACAATTCCCATCTCTAGTTGGGAGATTAAAGTCAAGTACTCCTGGCTTGTAATTGACAAACGATTTTGACAATGGAAACACTTTGCCTAGAAGCCTAGAACATCATCCCGTTGTTAATTGGAAGCTAAGCAGTCTAGATTAAGACAGCCGAAATTGAAATATTTTCTAATGAAGTGGTAATCAAGGTTTCCAGTAGAAAACTGTAGTCTAGATTAAGACACCCGAAATTGAAATATTTTCTAATGAAGTGGTAATCAAGGTTTCCATTTTATTTGTCACAGGATCTGTAGAAAACTGTATTGCTACAAATAATAACAAAAGACTTGGACTTTATCTTGGGAATATCATTAGATAAATTCAAATAAACTTTACCAAACAGTTTTACATGTATTAATATGATAAACTCAGATAAATCAGTCTAATTAAGTCCTACTATAATTATCAGCCATTAGTAACGTCCTACAGTGGAGTGGCAAATGATGTTAGGTCAGAAGCCACCTTATCACTACCACTGAAATATTCCGTGGAATTTGTGGCAAAACTATGTCGAAAAGTTAAACCATACACTAGATATTCTTTTTCCATTTTGATTCCATACATATAAATGACCCAGCAATAACATTATCAGTATAAAAACGAAAATTTTACTGTCAAGTTAGCTCGTCAAAAAAAATAAAGTTCGCATCCTACTATGGGTGGGAATATACTCAGCCCAATTAAATTGCCAAAGGGGGTATACTTAACTGCAGTGTGCAGTCTATTGGATTGAACTTTAAATATTGTTTCATAAATTGAAAAATAAAATATTAGCCGAAGACACTAGACAATTTAAAAATGCATCATACACAATTTAAAAATGCATCATACTACAGTCCACATCGAGTGTGAACAGGGAAAAGGAAGGATAGAAGTTACTAGTACTACAAAATGACTGCAAACAGAGGCAACATAGGAAAGTCAGAACAATGACTGCAAAATGAATGCTATTCTCAACAAGGGCCAATTTTCACCACAAAATAGGTGGCTGGCAATTAAAGCGGCAGACACCATGTGGGCTGGATATTGAAGGAAATGGGCAACTGGTGCTTGTCTGAGGTATGGACCTAAAGGATTCCTAACCCTCAAATGATTTCCAAAAATGGCATACGGACAAAAAAGAGGTGGGCAGAATCAGACATTTTTGTGAGTTTGTTATAGCAATGAGGACATTTTGTTAAAGCACGATGGCCACTCTATGCTGCCATTGAATACTCTCTTTAGAATTTCAAGTATTTTAAACCACTAAAGCCAATAGGAGATTTTTCTACTTCTATAACTACGATTCCAATATCAATACCTTAAGTATGAGTCCAGCATGCAAATCATTATGCAGTCACCTGCCTATTGCAGTTACTGTTAGTATTGCCACATTGTGATTCATCAATATAACCATAATAAAGGGCTGTGACAGAAAATGGTACTAAACTGGTAATTTGCACAATACAAACACTTTTTACTAGTAATTTTGGCCATCGATTCACAACCAGAATATTATCTGCAGAGACATTATAATAATGATAGGAAGATTACAAAGAAGTAACAAGAACACACACACCAAGATTCAAGAGTTTGGTTCTCTCCCCTTCCCAAATGTAGAGTTTGATCGCTCCCACTAACCACTCAATAACTCCAAGATAAATCATAACTGACCTAAAATAACTTTTTGACAGCGGTGTTATCATTATCAAATATCTGTCATGGCAGCACTATGGTGGATATACATGTTGATTTTTGGGCTCGCCGCAGAGGTAAATATTGGCCAATATTACGGGTTTTTTCGCCATAATCCGCTATAAAAGTGTCTTAAAGCGTCCGTATAGCGATATTTTGGCTGTCCGCCATGGACCACCGTCTGCCATTGACAATACTGCTTGACAGAATAGAAACTACTACACTCGGTCTAGGCTCCTATCCTAGTAACTCTTAATAGGCTTCCAAAGTCAATACATATGTTCTTTGACACTAATTCTCCTCACAACAACTTATTTCTAAGTACGTCTGTCAGTCTTATAATCAAGATGATATATCTAAATACAGCACAAACACTGATAAGTGTAGGCAAAGCATATTTTCAGAAAAGAAGCAACAAGAAATAAAACATGCATCATGGCCAGATTAATAGCCCACAAATGCAGAGATTTATATTCCAGTCATCCATACATGACCCCTACTAAGCTGAATTCCAAATCTAACGCTTACAAAGAAAATTAAAATTTTTGGATTAACAAAATCAGGCCATGTAAACGTAAAATCAAGTACATAACAGGTGAGAATTGCTAATAAGCAGGCAAAAACAAACAAAGCTAGCATTGTTCTTATCTTACAATTACCGGCAAGCAAGTAGCGTTTTATAGAACAATATTATGTGTAGAAAAAGCAAAGAACACCCTTAGATATCCACTCAATCAAATTTAAAATGCTCATCCAGTACACGATTTTATTAGAGCATATGACATTGCATTGATAGCAAGAAAAATTACAAAGCAAAGGATAGAAAAATTACAACATGTTAAATTCAATAAGAAGAATCCTTCTGATTGGCTTGCTGCCGCAGTAACTCTTCTCTGACCCTTCTGATCTCCGCTTCCTTCTCCAACCTCTCTTGCTGCAAAACAAAGAACAATGGCGATGAAATCTAGGGTTTTCACTTTTCCTCTTTTCCGATGGAAAGTAAAATCAGAACAACAAAATAGTGAAATTGAATATTGAAATTGAGAGAATGCGAATAACAGGAATTGGATTATGATTTAAGACATGAAGAGCGAGAAGAAAGAGGAAAAACCTTTTCGTCCTGACGAAGAGCGATCCAGACATGGACCTTGTCCATGGATTGCCAGAAAACGAAAGCTGCCAAGGACATGCCGAAGTACGTTGCTACTTTCACCATCTTGAATCTTTTTCTGCTTCCTTCGTTACTTCGATTCGGTTTCAGAATAACCAATTTCCTTTTCTTTTCCACTGCTTCGTTAACATGGGAAGAGAAGATGAATTGTGAAACAGTTTCCTTGGGCTCGAACTTTCGCTGAGGCCCATTCAAAATAACAGAATTTTTCCTCTCACCTCCATCTTATATCTGCACCCCACATATTTCCATAATCCTCGCGCTCTTCTTGTCAAAATTTTATCAAAAAATTCGGATAAAAAATTTGTTACAAGTCAAAAACTCCTAGTAGTGTATCTCAAAAAGCCGGTGCACCGTATATTTTAAAAAATTGGTATTTTATGTCATAAACGGATTATTTAGTGTTATTTTTTATCGGATTTTTTTTTATTAATGATGACAAATATGGTAGTGCAGAAAGTTTTGATTTTTTCAAATCAACTTTCTGTTATCGAATTTTTAGTGGGTAATACAAAAAATTTAATAGTGTTAACTGAACGGTTGAGATTTTGTTGACAATTTTGTGCAAATGTGATTGCACTAACTGTTTTGTGTAGTCTAGAATTAGTCTAAAGTTGTATAAATAGGGATCATGTGTTATAAAAAAAATATTTTATAATGTCTCAGTTTTTGTTTAAGACGAAGTGTATTTCAACGGGATGAAACTACCTGTTGAGTTTCGGCTCCGCGGAGCACCATATGTCTCACCCTTCTGAGATCTAAGTTGAATGATATGTTGCCAGACATCGGGAACATAAAGGTTATTAAGACCGAGTTTTCTGAAGACTGGATTGATACTAATGGAAGTGTGAAATACAATCTTATTGAGATGATTACCGATGAAGATTTGAAAGTTATGTGGAGAACATATCACCGTAGGCTAACTAAGGGATCGATCGAGTTTGATGCGTCAATTTCTAGATTCGTTGACGACATAATCAAGATGTTGAAACATACAGAATCATCTGATGGTGTTTAGGCTTTCTAGTTTATTATTGTTTTCTTACATTATGTAATTGTATGTCTAAATTATGTAATTGTTTGTCAAATGTTAAAGTTGTGTTCATCATGCATCAATGGAAGTGGCAGAATGTTATCTAATAAACAAAGTCGTGCAAATGTTTGAGAAATAATACACATAAAATACAAATAATACAAAAAATGATAATAAGGTCTAGGTCCCCCACGGGCTATGTTTGTTGTCTGCGACTCTAAAGTATAAGCCTAACTATATGGGTTCACCAAACCAATGAGATTATACATAATGATTGCTATCATCTGCATGCATGAAGTATCATTTACACCATGTGAAGGTGGTGGCCCCTCATCAGAAGGTACCCCCAACATTAGAAGGTCTGGGATGAGAAGATTTGACATGAAAAGGTCCAGCATGAGAAGATCTTGCATCATCTTCATGCTACCTATATGGGATGATGAGAGAGTGTGATATAATAAGGTATCACTCCAAGTACCCATCCATACACTCTGTTGGGGACTAAACCTCGATTGGACTAACTCTAATGGAACGGGCAGACCCTAAAACGTGACTAACAAACTATTTATCAATGCCCTCAGGTGGAAAAGTAGGGACTGGTCGTGGGGTGTCCTGGACATATCTAAACTAGCACAAACACCTCTAAAGTAAGTGTCAAGCCACTAATGTCTCCCATCGCAGATAGCTAAAAAAACAATGAAGTGCCGTTAAACTCATTATGCACTATATGGTCTGTGTAGGGTGTCCAGATGGCATCGTCTATGGTCAACACATTATCCATCCTCATGTACTCTACAACACCTCCCAGTGTGGATGTCTGCTCTACATTTGTTGGCTTGTGCAAACTCGTGAATGGTAGGAATAACAAGCCTCTCGAAAATAGAGAGGAAATGCTTGTGTATCCAACATTGCATAAGAACATAGGTAAATTAAAAAATTTCATAAAAATGACTACTATGAATAAGAAATAATAATTTTCTATACATGAAATAGATTTATATAACTAGCAAGTTGCCCCGTCTCAAAGATATTGCCTCTCCAAGTGCATCATATAGAAAAATAAGTGCAGATAACCTTCGCGCCCAACCGACACGCTCAAGGTGACTAAGCAGTCACATGTACTTTTTATCAATACATATATGGGAATTATTCGCTAAGATAGTACATCCTACAAGATGTAGCATGTATACCCTAACGACTACCTCATACATATACCGATGCACTAGATATGTATATCTTCCTACAATAAAGATAGGCGAAAGTGAGCACCCTTGATAAACATAAAGTCCTTCATCACCTGCTCCTTAATAAACCTAAACTCTTGTACAACTGTCATATGTGCAACCTCCTAGCTACTGGGTGGAGCGGTGAAAAAAGTACATGTCCGACAAAGATGGAAAGAGACGGTACATCATCTAGTGTAATCATTATCTCACAAGATGGAAGAAAAGATTTCTCCTTATGCCAACATTCGACAAAGGTCGTTAATAACTGATTGTCGAACATTATCAACAAGTAGTACACCAGTGAAAGAAAACTGCAATCATCAATAAAAACCTTGACGTCCTATATCATCTCGACATCCAAAAACTTCTTTATCTTCGCACCATGGGCGGGTACCTTCAGTGGAATTCGGCCATGTAACAAACAATGTAAAATCATCAGTTAATTTCAAAGTATAAATAATAAATAAAGTCTCATCATCGGCATATCATATACATACCTTTCCCTGCCATAATCTGAATATCACATGATCGATATATCTAGTTAGCACAGAATAATTGTTGGGCTCATTTTCGGTGCTGGTTCAGATTTTCACCTTAGCATTAATTTTCAAAATTGGAATCACTATCTTTCTATTAGCTGGGATTTTCGACAAGGACCAAAATCCGACCAAAAGAAAAGGATAAAAAATGTTCTTTAGAAATAGTGATTTATGTGATTCGACTACTGATGCAATCGACCTAGGACCTAGAGAGATTCTACAAGTATTCGACTACTAATGCAATCAACCTAGAGAGATTCTACAAGTCAGTAATTGGGCCTGAAAACAGAAGCAGTTGACCAGGGAAGACCTCATAAGTCATTGGGCCTAAAAACGTCAAAAGGCCCAAAAGATCCATCAAGCGAGCGAAGCATTTTTGGAGGGAAACTTAGAGAACATGGGTTCGAGAGTACAAATGGAGAACGTGGGATCGTGGAGAGGAGTTACAAGATACACATGGCATACAAAGAAGTAAAGTTCGCTAGAAAGTAGTTATTTTTTGTGTATTATAAATAAAGCACTTAGTGCATAGTGTTAAAGATTCAAACTTTCACATTCCTATACGCTAGTCACTCGGAGTTCCCAAATGAACGAGTGAAATAAGTCAAGTTAGGGAAATGTATGTTTGAATCAACTTATTTTAAACTATTTTGATTTTATGTCATTTATGTTTACAGTTTAAAGCACTTTCATTTTATTTTACAAGTCTTGCTTTATTGCTTATTAACTCGTTTGGCACCAGTCAAACAAATCCTTTTGAAAACACTTTGTGAAAACATTCGAAAACTGAAGCACTGTACTGAGATTCCCTGGTCGATCTCGCCAGTAAACTTTTATTAAGAGACCAGCGTTGTTTATCAAAACTAGAGGTAAACAAATTGGCACACCCAGTGGAACGGTGCTAATAATTTCGTATTTGTGATTGGTTTTACAACGTGGCTTGCAGTTTAGTTTGTGTGTGTATGAATTTAAGAAGTGGTAAACATTTTCCGAAGTCTAAAATGCCACGCTCTAACATAAATACCTCACATACACAAATTTCTACATAAAATGTGGATGTCATAACAGTGAGTGCCACAACTCAAAGCACAACCGTTTTATCTCCTGTAAGATCGAGCGTTGTTCATGATTCAGTCACAACGACATAACCTAGGCATGGGTATCACCATTTGACCCAAATTGATCACTCTTTCCAGGGGGTCCAAGGTCATCATTTGTCCCTTATCAATATGGCACGCCTTATTCCATTATGGTTGGGTTATAGTCGAATCCATCCACATACAAAGAAAATGTAGTAGCCACTGGAAACCAAGGCAGTTATGTCCCAGGTGGTCGACCAGGTGGTGTTGGTTATATCCCTCAGTCGACACCATCTTTGTATATTATTTCTGTTATGGCTTTGAGGAAACAGATGGATATGAGTAATTTAGAGTTAGTGAATGTGTTAACTTGGTAAATAGGAGTTGCCTTAAATCCTGTAGTTGACCAAATATGTAGAATGATCGAGTTATTAAGGGTCCAACCAACTCAGACACGCCAAAGGCCGTTAAGAGTTTTTGAAGAACTGGAGGGAGGCAACAAAGAGCGTCCTTTTAGACCTCGAAGGGTGGAATTACCCATTTACGAAGAGGAAGAAGTCATTGAACAATACGAACCTAGGTCGATCGTAGTTAGGAGGAACCGAGATGTTGATTGAGTGTTAAGAAATGCCACTGTTGGGCGTAACAACATAGTGAATGTAGTAGAAGAAGTGTTAACACGATATATGGTAAATGTTGGCCTTCGGATGCCTAATTATTCGTCTCCCTTACCTGATTATATTCGACAGGAAGAATTGCCTAGGGGATGTAAGGTGCCTAAATTTACCAATTTTGATGGTGATGCTAATGAGTCAACCATTGAACACATTGCTAGGTACGAAATAGAAGTTGGCGATATCGCCAATGATGAGGGTTTGAACTTAAGATATTTTCCTAATTCATTAACCAAAAATGCTTTTACTTAGCTTACTACATTGACTCTAAATTCTATATGCACTTGTGATCAACTTGAGGGCTTATTTCATGAGCAATTTTATGTTGGTCAGCCTAAGATAAGTTTGAAAGGATTATCCTCAATCAAGAGGAGCTCGTTTGAGTCAATGGAGGCTTATTTGAATAGGTTTAGGGTCCTAAAGTCTAGATGTTTTACTAGAGTTCCTGAACACGAGCTGGTCGAAATGGCCGCTGGGGGCTTAGATTATTCCATTAGGAAGAAGTTTGATCCTTAATCTATTATAGATATGTCTCGACTAGCTGATAAGGTTCGATATGTCGAACATTTGAGAACAGATCAAGCTAGAATTTCAAAGGATCATAGAAAAGGAAAAGTGACCTATGTAGATACGAAAGATTATTCTATAGAG